ATCATTATATGATTGACATATTATTATTGGATTCTAAGAAGGCAATATTAGAACGGATGGTTGAGACAATGAAGGAAGTTCTAACTCATTGGGGATTACAGATTGCTCCAGAAAAGATACAAGGGGAGATTCTGTTAATTATTAGGTTATAAAATAGACTTACAAAAAATCAGGCTGCAAAAAATTACAAATTAGAAGAGATCGTTATCAAACTCTTAATGACCTACAGAAATTGCTAGGAGAAATTTCTCAACTACAATATTTGGAGTAGAAGGACATGACTTAAAGCATTTAAAATGGCCCTTAAAGGGGACAAGAACTTATACAGTCCACAAATATTATTCACAGAAAAAGAATTACCATAGGTGGAAAACAGAATACTGGATGCACATGTAGACCATGTGGACCCTAATATAGACTGTATTCTTGTTATTTACCATCCAGAGAAAACACTTCAGGGATTCTGATGCAGAGGGAAGATACTATATTAGAATGGATATTTCTGCCACATAAATAGAATAAAAAGCTAAAGACGTACTTAGAAAAGATTTCTGATTTTATTCTACAAGGCAAATTAAGACTTCGTCAACTGAATGGAAAAGACCCAGCAGAAATTATAGTACCTTTAACTAATGAGAAAATTTCCTCCTTATGGAAATACAATGAATACTGGAAGACAGCTTTTACTAACTTTTTGGGAACAATTAGCAACAATTATCCCAAAACTGACAGAATTAAATTCATAAAAAAAGACACTCTGGATCCTTCTACATATTATAAGAAAAACACCTATTTCTAGAGTCCTTACCTTCTACACTGATGCGAACAAATCAGGTAAGGCAGGATATAAATCAGGACAGATAAGTAAAGTACTTCAAAGTCCATATAACTCTGTACAGAAGGCAGAATTATACGAGATTTTTATGGTACTTATAACGAGAGCGAAGATGATCCATAGTCCATAAGGTTAAGATATCTTTATTCAGATAAACGCAAGCCAGAGCATGCCCAGAGGCAGCAAGCTAGGGAGGCCAGAGAGAAGGGGCTCCCCTCGTGTCTGCTGAAGCCCCTTAAAAATTCCTCCTGAGTCATCCTCAACCTCCCCTGACCACGCCCTCATGGGCATGGCCAGGCACACCTGTAGCAGCTCCTAGGAGGCGGGGCTACAGTGTCTCCCTACAATTCCCCTTTTAGTCTAAAAGAGGATTAAAACTTAATAGTGTAAAACATCCAAAATTAACAATCATAAAAGGGAAATACAAGAAGATACAATAATCTTCTATTGCACATCCTAACTATGTCTATTCCGGCTAAGCCCTAAAGTCATGTGGAAAGGGTGTCTAACTTGAACACCTCCTTCCAATCCCAACTCTAAACAATAAGCAAGTTATTCCTAACTAGGCTTACACTACCCTAATATACAATAATGGGGAACAGAGGTGTAGCATCTTCTAAGTTACTTCCTGCTGAAACGGTACGATGGTAGCCTTGAGGGGTCCTGTGGGGGGAAAAAATGTTAGTATAGTGAAAGTCTGTAATGGGTTATCTCCAGTCCATGTTAGATGGGATTTGTTTGATTGAAGATCTAGGTTGAAATCCTCAAGTTGATTGAAGTCAGTACTCGAAGCTCTGGTTGGAGTGTCAGTTGAAACAGAGTAAGTTGGATCTAGTGCAGTCGAAGTGGTATGGCCCAACTCCTTTTCCGGAGCATCCAGGAATTGTTGCCAGGCAGGTCTTCATTGGCTGTATGGGACTCAAATATAAGTGTCAGCAGAGAAATGTTTGCTTGCACATGTATGTATGCTGGGAAAGGCAACCATGGGAAAATGACAATTATGAGAGGGTGCAGGCCTTGAAAGAAAGAGCCAAGAAAAGACAAAAGATAATCTTCAAATTCTTCATTTATTCTGTATTACATCAATTAGCTTCTTGATATAACACAGAAACTTTAAAATTTTGTTAAATAACATGCTTGGATTTTACGGGAGGAAAGCCAAATCCAACTCTAAATCCAGCATTGATTTAATTGAATGGGGACTAGGAAATAAAGAGAAATAGTTATTTGAGAGACAGCTGTAAAGTTTACCATATGGCACATTCCTTTTATTTGATGGTTATAGCTACCTACTTTTCTTTAAGTCTCTACCCATGCAGTGTCCTTTGACTTCTGGAGGTGAGTTTTTCTGTGAAGATAAAAACAAAACCATTCCCTTTCCTTTGGGAGGCTTTCATTTAGTTTATGAGATATACCACAGTAAATACCTGTCAGTCATCCTTGTCGAGAGGGTTGTCTTTTTCAACTCGAATCTTGATCAATTTTGATGGTATCCAAAGTTTTCCTTCTCCTGTGGAAACCAATGCAAAACCCCTACCCCAATATAACACATGTCCATGCTTCCATACCGAGGTCAGTACATCTTTGAAGTACACCGGCTGATTCAGTTCAGCAGTTTTTTCCGTAGTCCAGTGTCTTTCCACAGCTGTTTGTCCTTTGTCATTGGCATTAAGAAAGTTCAGTGTTAATAAAGCATTATGCAACCTATGTTTGGGGGGGGTTGACTTACCAGCTTGCCTATGGAGCATTTCCTTAAGCATCCTATTAGATCTTTCAACAACTGCTTGTCCTGTAGGATTGTGTGGTATACCTGTGACATGCTTTATGTTATAATATTTGAAGAACTGTTCCATTTTTGTGGAGACATATGCTGCAGCATTGTCAGTTTTTATCTGTTCAGGTATACCCCTAACTGCCATCACCTCTAGTAGGTGAGTAATAACAGAAACAGCTTCTTCAGAGTTGAGAGCAGTAGCCCATTGGAAACCTGAGAATGTGTCAATGGTATGATGCACATATTTCAAATTTCCATATTCTGTAAAGTGAAAGACATCCATCTGCCAGATCTCATTACTCCAAATTCCTTTAGGATTACAGCCTGCTGGCATCGGAGTTTGGTTATAAAAGGAACAAGTTGGACAGTTTCTCACTATCACCTTGGCTTGTTGCCAAGTGATAGAGAAGTCCTTCTTTAAATCTTTGCTATTTACATGATGTTTTTTATGAAATTCTGAGGCTTCTAGCACAGTGCCAATTAATAAACGATCAATCTCGTCATTGCCTTGCGCTAGTGGGCCTGGCAGACCCGGATGGGATCTGATATGTGTAATGTATAGAGGATTACTTCTATTTCTGATTGTTTCCTGTAATTGTAAGAACAACGAGGTTAGTTCAGTATTATCAGGGATGAATTCTGCGGTCTCTATGTGTAAAACAACTCTCTCTGCATATTGGGAATCAGTAACTATGTTAAGAGGTTCTGTGAAATCCATAAGCACCATGAAAATTGCATATAATTCTGCCTTCTGCACAGATATGTACAGACTTTGAACTACTTTACTTACCTCTCCTGCTTTATAACCAGCCTTACCTGATTTGTTAGCATGAATGTAGAAGGTAAGAACTCCAGAAATGGGAATTGCATATAATTCTGCCTTCTGCATAGATGTGTACGGACTTTGAACTACTTTACTTACCTCTCCTGCTTTATAACCAGCCTTACCTGATTTGTTAGCATGAATGTAGAAGGTAAGAACTCCAGAAATGGGAGTTTGTCTTACAATGCATGGAAAATTCCAGACTGTCTTTTTTTATGAATTTAATTCTGTCAGTTTTGGGATAGTTGTTACTAATTGTTCCCAAAAAGACAGTAAGAGTTATTTGCCAATATTCATTATCCTTACATAAGGAGGAAATTTCATCATTAGTTAAAAGGTACTATAATTTCTGATGGATCTTTTCCAGTCAGCTGGCGAAGTCTTAATTTACCCTTTAAAATCAAATCAGAAATCTTTTCTATATATGTCTTTATCTTTTTATTCTGTTTATGTGGCAGAAATATCCATTCCAATATAGTGTCTTCCCTCTGCATCAGAATTCCAGAAGGATATTCTCTGGATGGCAAGATGACCAGAATGCAGTCTAAATTAAAGTTTATCCGATCTACATGCGCATCCAATATTCTGTTTTCTACCCATTGTGGTTCTTTTTCTGCCTCAGCAGATAATATTCATGGACTGTTTAGGTCCTTATCATCTTTCAGCACCATTTTAAAATGTTTTCAGTCATGACCTTCTACCCCAATAATCATCTGTAATTGAGAAATTTCTCCTAGTAGCTTCTGAAGACTATTAAGACTTTGATAACGATTCCTTCTAATTTATACCTTCTGTGGTCTAATTCTTTGTAAGTCTATCTTATAACCTAAATAGTTAATACAATCTCCTCTTTGTATCTTTTCCGGGGCTATTTGTAACCCCCATCTAGGCAGAACTTCCTTCACCATGTCAAACATATGTTCCAAAGTTTCCTTATTAGAATCCAATAAAAGAATATCATCCATATAATGATAAACAAGAGATTGTGGAAAATTTTTACGAATTATTTCCAAAGGTTGTTGTACAAAGTGTTGACACAAAGTAGGACTATTTAGCCTCCCCTGAGGTAAAACTTTCCACTGATATCTCCGAACTGGCTGTGAGTTATTAAGAGTTGGTACAGTAAATGCAAATTTCTCTGTATCACTTTATTGTAATGGTATAGAGAAAAAGCAGTCTTTCAGGTCAATTACTATGATCGGCTATCCTTTAAGTATTAAGGAAGGCAGTGGCGTTCCAGGCTGTAGAGAGCCCATAGGTTGAATTACCTTATTTATGGCTCTCAGGTCTGTCAGCATTCTCCAGTTACTTGACTTCTTCTTGATAACAAATACAGGAGTATTCCAAGGGCTGGTAGATTCCTCTATGTGACCAGCCTCCAGCCGTTCCTGTACTAACTTTTCTAGAGCCCCTAGCTTCTCAGAGGTCAAAGGCCATTGCCCTATCCAGACAGGCTCATCTGTAAACCATTTTAATGGTAGGGCCTTTGGTTCCTCTGAAGGTCTATCATTTGTATTTAATTTCTGTACATCCTGGATAGTTGGTAACCATTTTCCATAGAGTCTTACCCAATCCTTCCTACTATCCAGCGATTTTCTATACTTCGTATCTGACATTGGAGGGATATTAATTTGAGTGTTCCATTGATGTAAGAGATCACGACCCGAGAGGTTAATAGCTGTATTTGCTATGTAAGGTTTTAGTCTCCCTTTATGTCCTTCCGGTCCAATACAGACCACCGAGTGAACACTCTGTTGTGTCCCAATACCCAGAAATTGTACATTTGCTTCCCTGAGAGCCCATTCCTTTGGGTAGGACTTGTGGGTAATGATAGTAACGTCAGCGCCTGTGTCCAGTATCCCGTTAATAATTTTATCATTAATTTTTACCTGTAAGTGAGGTCTCCTGTCCTTGATTGAGGTCTGCCAAAATATGTGCATGTTTTGGGTATATGCCTAAGAATGGAGTTGCTGTATATTGAGGTAGACTGATTCCCATTTTCCTGAGAAAGCACCATACTGATTTCCAAAGTGGCCACACAAGTTTGCACTCCTGCCCAAAATGGAGGAGTGTTCCCCTTTATCCACATCCTCTCCAGCATAAACTGTCATTGGTATTTTGATTTAGGCCATTCTGATAGGTGTAAGATGATATCTCAGAGTTGTTTTGATTTGCATTTCCCTGATTGCTAATGATGTTGAGGACTTTCTTATGTGTCTTTCAGCCATTTTAGCTTCCTCTATTGGGAAATGTCTATTTAGTTCTGTACCCCACTTTTTAATTAGATTAGTTGGTGTTTTGGAGACTTCTTGAGTTCTTTGTATATTTTGGAAGTCAGCCCTCTGTCAGATACGGGCTTGATGAATATCTTTTCCCATTCTGTGGGCTGCCATTTTGTCTTGTTGACTCTGTCCTTTGCCTTACAGAAGCTTCTCAGTTTCAGGAGGTTCCATTTATTAACTGTGGATCTTAGTGTCTGTGCTACTGGTGTTATGTTCAGGAAGCAGTCTCCTGTACCAATTAGTTCCAGGGTACCTCCTATCTTCTCTTCTAAGAGGTTCAGTTTGGCTATATTTATGTTGAGGTCTTTGATCCATTTGGACTTAAGTTTTGTGCATGATGATAGATATGGATCTATCTTCAATCTTCTACATGTCAGCATCCAGTTATGCCAGTACCATTTGTTGAAGATGCTTTCTTTTTCCATTGTATAATTTTAGCTTATTTGTCAAAAATCAGGTGTTCATAGGTATGTGTATTGATATCAGGGTCTTCAATTCGATTCCATCGGTCTACCTGTCTGTTTTTATTCCAATACCAAGCTGCTTTCATTACTATAGCTCTATAATCAAACTTGAAGTCAGGGATGGTGATGCCTCTGAAGGTTCCTTTATTGTACAGTGTTATTTTGGCTATTTATCCTGGGTTTTTTGTTTTTCCATATAAAGTTGAGTGTTGTTCTTTCAAGGTCTGTGAAGAATTGTGTTAGTATTTTGATGGGGATTGCATTGAATTTGTATATTGCTTTTGGTAAGAATGCCATTTTTACTCACTCATATATGAATTCAGACCTAGAGCAAAGGAGTAACAGCCTAAATTCACACCACCAGAGAATCTAGGAAACAAGGAGGACCCTAAGAGAGACATGCATGGTCCCCCAGAGAAGGGGAAAGGGACAAGATCTCCTAAGCTAATGGGGTTCAGGGAGGAGGGGAGAGGGAGTTAGAACAAAGAGAAGGAGAGAAGAGGAGGGGAGAGGAAGACATGAAGGAACAGGAAAGATCTAGTCAGGGGAAGAATAGAGGAGAGCAAGAAAAGGGATACCGTCATAGAGGGAGCCATTATAGGTTTTAAAAGAATTCTGGTACTAGGGAAATGTCCAGAGGTCTACAAGGTTGACCCCAACTAACAATCTAAGCAATATTGGAGAGGCTACATTAAAAGACCTTCTCCAATAATGAGATTGATGACTACCTTATATACCATCCTAGTACCTTCATCCAGTAGCTGATGGAAGCAGACACAGATACCCACAGCTAAACACTGAGCTGAAATCTGGAATCCAGTTGCAGAGAGGGAGGAGTGGTGAGCAAAGAGGTCTGGAGAAACCCACAGAAACAGATGACCTGAACAAATGGTTGCTCATGGACCCCATACTGATTCTAGGAAACCAGCATAGGACTTTTCCAGACCCCCTGAATGAGGAAGCCAGTTTGGAAGTCTGAACAAACTATGGGGCCACTGGTAGTGGGTCTGTATTTACCCTTAGTACACAAACTTTGGGAGTCCTCTCCACATAGAGGGATACTATCTTAGCCTGGACACACTAGGGAGGGTCTAGGCCCTGCTCCAACTTTGAAGATCTCCTATGAAAGGCCTCACCCTCCCTGGAGAGAGCAGAAAGGGATTGGGATAGGGGGGTCAGTGGGGAGCATGGGAGGAGGGTAGGGAGAGGGAACTGAGATTGACATGTAAAAGAAGCTTGTTTCTAATTTAAATTTAAAAAAAACTGGGAAAAGATATTCACCAACCCCACATTTGACAGAGGGCTGGTTTCCAAAATATACAAAGAATTCAATAAGCTAGTCACCAAAACACCAAATAATTCAATCAAAAAAGTGGGGTACAGAACTAAACATAGAATTCTCAATAGAAGAATCTAAAATGGCTGAAAGACACTTAAGAAATTGCTCAACATCCTTAGGCATCAGGGAGATGCAAATTAAAGCAACTCTGAGACACCTTCTCACACCCATCAGAATGGCTAAAATCAAAAACACCAGTGACAGTTTATGCTGGAGAGGATGTAAAGAAAGGGAACACTACTCCATTGCTGGTAAAAGTGCAAGCTTGTACGGCCACTTTGGAAATCAGTTTGACAATTTCTCTGGAAAATGGGAACCAGTCTCCTTCAAGATTCAGCAATTCTACTCTTGGGCATATATCCAAAGGATGCACATTCATACAACAAGGACATCTGTTCAATGTAGGGGAAGCTGTAGCCACGCCTTCTTAGGGGCTGGCTACATAGCAGCATTATTTGTAATAGCCAGAACCTAGAAGCAAACTAGATGCCCCTCAACTCATAAATGAATACAGAATATGTGGTACATTTACACAATGGAGTACTGCTCAGTGGGAAAAAACAACAATGAAATCTTGAAATTCACAGGCAAATGAATGGAACTAGAAGAAACCATCCCAAGTGAGGTAACCAAGTCACAGAAAGACAATATAGTATGTACTCACTCATATATGGATATTAGACATAGAACAAAGGACTACAAGCCTACAATCCACCCCTCCAGAGAAGCTAGGAAACAAAGAGAACCCTAAGAAAGACATACATAGTCCCTCAATGAAGGGGAAAGGGACAAGATCTCCTGAGAAAATTGGGAGCATGTGGGGAGTGAGGAGGAAGGGAGGAGAAAGGGGAGGGGAGAAGAAGAGGGGGGAGGAGAACATGAGGGATCAAGAAGATTGAGTGGGGGCATGAATAGAGGAGAGCAAGAAAAGAGACGTATCAATAGAAGGAGCCACTATAGGTTTAAAGAGAGATCTGACATTAGAGAATTTTACAGAGATCCACAAGGATGACCCTAACTAGGAACCTAAGCAATAGTGGAGAGGCTACCTTAAATGCCCTCCCCCTATTATGAGAATGATGACCACCTTAAATGCCATCCTAGAGCCTTCATCCAGTAGCTGATAGAAGCAGAAGCAGAGATCCACAGCTAAGCCCTGAGCCAAACTCCTGGAATCCAGTTTCAACGAGGGAGGAGTGACAAACAAAGGGGTCACAAAGGCCATGCTGGGAAAACACATAGAAATGGCTGACCTGAGCAAGTGGGAACTCATAGATCCCAGTCTGACAGTTGGGAAGCCAACATAGGACCAAAACAGGCCCCCTTAAAGTGGATGTCATCTAGGAGCACTGAGCAGTCAATGGGGCCTCTGGCAGTGGAACCAGGATGTATCCCTAGTGTATGAAAGGACTTCAGGAGCCTGTTTCCCATGGAGGGATACTCCCTTATCCTAGGCCCTGCCCCAAATGACTTGACAGATTTTGATGACCTCCCCTCATGGAAGGCCTCACCCTCTTGGGGAGTGGATGGGAGATGGGATGGGGAGTTGGTGATGGGCATGGGAGAATGGAAGGGAGAGGGAACTAGGATTGATATGTAAAAAAAGATTGTTTCAAATTTAAATAAAATTTATTTTAAAAAGTTCTGCTATCCAATGAAATCCCAGGGTCAGATGGTTTTAGCACAATACTCTACCATATTTTCAAAGAATTAATGGCAATACTCCTCAAATTATTATACAAAATAAACAGAAGGAATATTGCCAAATTCTTTCATGAGGCCACAGTTACTCTGATACCTAAACCACATAAATACCCAACAAAGAAAGAAAATGACAAATTTCTCTTACAAACATACACGTGAAAATTCTCAATAAAATACTTGCAAACCGAATCCAAGAACACATCAAAAACATCATCTACCATGATCAAGTAGGCTTTATCCCAGAGATGCAGGGATGGTTCAACATACCTAAATTAATAAAAGTAATCCACCATATAAACAAACTGAAAAACAAAAACTACTGTTCTGCTAAAGGAATATAGCCATTAAATGATGCCTAATGACATTCTGATATACTCGTAGGTCAGTATCTTGGCCAGCCATCACCAGGAAAGCTTCCTCTTGCAGCAGATGGGAACAAATACAGAGGCCCTCAGCTAGTCAATGAGCAGAGAGTGAGAGACACTCACTCAGCCCTAAATTGGATATCTCTATCAAATACCTCTCCTCAGGGCTCAGGAACTCTAGAGAAAAGGAGGCAGAAAAAGTGTAAAAGCCAGAGAGGATGGGGGACACCAAGAAATCGAGGCCTTCTTGGGCTGGCACACATATGAACTCACAGAAACTGTAGCAGCATGCACAGGGTTTGCATGGGGCTGCACTTAATAGAGTCCTAGAGCTGAAAGGAGACGTGCACACATGTCCCCATCCCTAACCCAGAAGCTATCTTCAACTGATAGCCACTTTCAACTAAAAAATTAATTTTCTCTAAAGGAGTCCCACTAGGGAAACAAATTGCTCTTCATGCCCAACAGCATGTACAGCTAATACAACTCAGTGACATCTTTGGAAGTTTTCTGTATCATAATGCTAAGTCAGGGTTTGAGGGTTGTTTTTTTAACCTTACAGGTCCTGTGTGTACATACTATGGCTTCAGTTTTGTGCTTTTATGGGATTCCTGTGGGAGAGGGCACGAGTGTGTCTCTGTTTCTGTATGTACTTCACATGTTTTCTCTTCACCTCTTTTTCTTTATTTGTTTTGTCCTATTTCAACTTGTTTCTTTTGTTTTATCTTGTTTTATTTTATTATGCCTTAGAGCCTGGTTGTTTTCTACTTAGAGACAGAAAAGGTA